ATAGGAAACACAGTGGGCAATCACGACCAAAACCTTTCACTCCAACGTTCTGCGGCACCTCTCGAACTGGATCGATCCGGGAGGGCCCGGGGACCCAGGATAGAGCGAGACCGCCCGGTGTGGAAAAGTGTCGCCAAGACCCAGACGTCCTGCGCCTCGAAGTTTTCGAGACTCCAGCCCCCGACCCCTCGGCGCCACCTCCCCGGGACTAGCTTCTTATCCCTTGTCCCGAGCCCTTGTTTGACGGCCTCGACGCCTGGTGGGCGTCCCGAGGGGCCGAGAACGATGGGAAACCTTCAGCTCGACTTTTCGAGACGCCGGACCTCTGGGGACTTCAGGGCCTGAGGCCGCTCCAGCACTCGCCGCCAAGACATGCGATGTCCTGATTTGCCTGATACGCGGTCCCCGGAAGTCCCTGCCCTATGCCAGAGCTGGCTTTTCATGTCGAATGGTTTCTGACGGTGCCAGAGCCCTGTGGCAGGAACGTCACAACTGAGCCACACATTCGCCTACTCTTTCGATCTCCGCTCGGACCCCTTCAGTGCAAGCACTGATTGGGGAATCTCTGCTGGGACCCCTCCTTCAGTGCAAGCGCTGACTGGACAACTTACGCCCTGATTTTCTGAGTTGGCGGCGCGCACAAGGGGGTGGCAGCAGGGAGGAAAGCTTCTTAGAAGGAGGCTGCTTCTTAGAAGGCGCTGGCCCCACATCTACACACGAGGCCCGCGCCTTCTCAGAAGCAGGGGTGCTTCTGAGAAGCCTTCTCCCCTGCCCCCTCCCCATGTGCGCGTGGCCGACCCATTCCACTCCCGGACCTCTCCCAGGGTGCGTTATGACCAGAATCCCGAGGCCAACCCAGCGGTGGCGACGAGGGCTTCCCAGGAGGCCAACAAAAGCGAAAACGAGGGATGCTTAGCGGGATGGGTACCTTTTCCTCCTCCGAACTACCCCCGACAGGAGGGGTGCGGTGGATGTGATCATAACTGGGCCGCATGGGGGATGGGGGAGGGCGACTGTGTATCCACCACCCGCCGCCTGCCCGGGTCTAGAGAGTTCGGCGTCCCATGCAGTGGATAATGTCAAGCCCCAGTGAGATTGTTTTTGTTGTCCCCCTCTGCGCGTGTGCGGCTCAGGATTCTGGGTGCCATGCAATTCCGGGTGTCATGGCCCCCGCAATGATATCCAACCCTCCCTAGTCATCCCACCCCCTCTTGGCGATGCATCGGTCGGTGCATCGTCGACGCCAGCGCGAAGACAATCGGGCTCCACATCGAGCCGTATCGCCGATGTATCGGCGATGCGGCGCGATCTTCCGACCCCATCTGCTCCGACCCCATCCAGGAGGCCTTGCACTTCTGAGTGGACCTGATGATTAACCAAGAAAGAACCCCGAACCATTTGGGAGGGGACTTACGTTAGGAGGGCCAAAGACACTAGGGAGAAGGCGTCTTTCCTGCACAGATGTGTCGGGCCAAACCGCCCAGAACCCTTTATCCCTGATGCGGAGAAGGGGCCTCACTGAGGCCACGTCTGCCTCGTGACATCAGGGTCAGGGGCTCTCCTGTGCTCGACGATGGGAGGCCTTGCACTTCCTGGGTGGGTCTGAGGCCGGCCCCGCCCCAGCCCGCCCGCCGCTGCGCCGGTCGGGTCGGGCGAAAGGGGGGGATAGCAAAGGGGGGGTTTGAGAATCAGCTCACGTAGCTCATTTTCCCCGCGACTCCCGGCGCCGGAGGCGACCATGCATCGAGGAATGGGCTCCTCGGTGAGGCCGAAACCAGCTGCCCCCCGGTTCCCAATCCCCCCCTTTCGTCCTGTGCCCGACGATGGGAGGCCCTGCACTTCCTGGGTGGGTCTGATGCTGGCCCCGCCCCCGCCCGCCCGCCGCTGCCGCGGGCGGGCGTCTCCTCCTCCTCCTCCTCCTCCTCCTCCTCCTCCTCCTCCTCCTCCTCCACAATTACTCAATATGAATACTACTCTCCCTCTTCCCCTGATGACGGCTTGGGAATATTTGGCCCCCCCCCCGCGTACTGTTTTTTTTACACGCAGGTTTCCCCAGAGTCGGGTTTTCGCCTGCATTTGTTTCCAAAATGCTGCTCTCGCTGAGGCGCCGGCCTCATTTTCGGGCCCCGCTCGTTCCGAATCGTGCTCCCGCTGCTGCGCTGGCATCATTTCCGCCGGCGCCCGGGCTGCACGCCCGAGCCGGCGCCTGGGCCGGCGCCCGCGCCGGGTACGGAGCCGGTTCCGGCCGGCGCCGGAAAATCGCGTTCCGAGGCGGCGCCGAAAAAAGGCCATTCCAATACACATTTTTCTTTTGAAAATGCTGAATTTCTGCTTCCGGCGCCCAAGCCGATTCCGACGCCCAGGCCGGCGCCCGAGCTGGCGCCCGGGCCGGACGCCCGAGCCGGCGCCAGGGCCGGCGCCTGGGCCGGGTACGGAGCCGGTTCCGGCCGGCGCCGGAAAATCGAGTTCCGAGGCGGCGCCGAAAAAAGGCCATTCCAATACACATTTTTCTTTTGAAAATGCTGAATTTCTGCTTCTGGCGCCCGGGAAGCCTCCCGGGCCGATTCTGGCGTGCTTCCGCTCGTTTCGACTCGTGCTCCCGCTGCAGCGCTGGCGTCATTTCCCGTGCCATGCCACGGCATGCATTGCAATGCAATGCTAGGTTGATAATACGCTTCGCGGTGCTGTTCTACGCCATGCCACGCCGTGCTCTACAATGCATCGCGTACCCTTTCGGAATCATTGCCCAGCTCGACATCCGACTGTGCGAGTAGAGAGGGGATCTGCGCCATGGTAAGGGATGGGAGGGAGAGGTAGGATGTCAGATATGACGCGAGCGCACCTAGCTTGTCCCCCTCCCCCTCCTCCTCCTCCTCCTCCTCCTCCTCCTCCTCCTCCTCCTCCTCCTCCTTCTCTCCCCCTCCCTCCCCTCCTCCTCCTCCTCCTCCTCCTCTCCTCCTCCTCCTCCTCCTCCTCCTCCTCCTCCTCCTCCTCCTCCTCTCCTCTCCTCCTCCTCCTCCATCCTCCTCCTCCTCCTCCTCCTCCTCCTCCTCCTCCTCCTCCTCCTCCTCCTCCTCCTCCTCCTCCTCCTCCTCCTCTCCCCTCCCCCTCCCCCTCCCCCCCCCTCCCCCTCCTCCGCGCGCTGCGCGCGTGGGGGGGCGGGGGGCCTCCCAGGCCGCGCCGGGCTGCGCCCGGCCGCGCAGCACCAGCCTGCGGCAGCGGCCACGCGGGGGAGGAGGAGGAGGAGGAGGAGGAGGAGGAGGAGGAGGAGGAGGAGGAGGAGGAGAGGAGGAGGAAGAGGAGGAGGAGGAGGAGGAGGAGGAGGAGGAGGAGGAGGAGGACGAGCAGGAGACATCTTTGGAGCCTCTTCGGGGCTCTGGGAGCCCCCTCAGGCTTCATGGCGGCCGCTTGCCGCCATCTGGGACCGTGTTGGAGGCATTTTGGGTCGAAAGGGAGGCCTCTCGCAGCTCGAGCAGGGGATCGACTGCTGACTACACTGCCAGACCACCCCAGCCCAACCCAAGACCCGAATCTCGGGTTGGGGGGGGGTACGGGCTTCGTGTGTGTCTTTTTTCCATGTTCCCCGACCCCCCTCACTGAAATGGAAGGCAAACCAGGGCTTTGGGGTTGGTTGGGGTGGTTTGATGGGCGGTGAACGCTGCAGCGGGAACATGATTTGGAAGGACTGAGACTGGGACAATGTAGCCAACGATTTAGCGAGAGCGCCATTCGGAAAGGACTAAACACGTTCGGATTGGACAAACTCATCTAAAATACCAACTCGGAAGCATGCTGTGCAGCAGGAGCACGATTCCGAAGGACCGAAACCGCGGGAATGAGACCAGCGCTGCAGTGGGAGCACGACTTGGACGGACTGGAAGCTCGGAAACCAGGCCAACGCTGCAGGAACACGATTTAGAAGAACCGAAACAATGAAATGAGGTCAGCGCTACAACAGGAACTTGATTTGGAAGGACAGATAACGGGAAAGTGGAGCCAACGCTGTAGCGGGAGCGCCATTCTGAAAGGGCTGAAAATGTTCGGATAGGAGAAACATATTTGAATTATCAATTCGACGGCAACCGGTGTGTACGAAGCCATACGCGGAGGAGGCCAGGACACCTCACCTGCGTCTTCGGGGGAAAGAGGCGAGTACTATTCATTGTGTGTAATGTTGAGTCGAGGGGGGGGATGGAAGGGGGCAGAGGAGGAGAGGGAAGGGGAGGCGACCAGGACAAAAGAGAGGGGATGAGAGATGAGGACATGGGAGGAGGGAGGGAGGCGGGGAGAAGGATGAGGGAGGAGGAGGGACGAGGGTGAGAGAGGAGGAGAAGGGAAATTGTGCAAGCTGGACACGCTTATGCCACATACGGCATCCTGCCGGAATCCGACGGCTCCCGCCCATTCCTCATCATTGTGATGAATCAGATTCAATCCGCCCAGTGAGGTGTGCTAGACGACCTGCTGCGGAGGATGCAGAGAGGTGGTGGGTTGGGAGGCGGAGGAGGAGGAGTGTGCAGAGGCGACAAGGAGTATTAAGGAAAATACGGTGAGGAAGACTGTGGATCGTTGGTAGGCCATTGGAGGGACGTCACTGGGTCGTCTGGGGGTGGGAGCTTTCGCGTTGAAGATATGTCCGTCGCGGTGCCGTCGTGTGGACGGAGGGCTGTCGCCACCGCCCGTGCTGAGGAGTCTTGGCGTTTAGGCTTGAAAGCCTAGTTAAACAAATAGACCGCTCTGGGCCTTCTTGGACGTCATCCTGAGGCCCGTGGGTGCCGTTTTGGAACTCTTTTGGATCGTCTGGGAGCTTGTTTGGGTAGTCTTTGTGGGCGGAAGGCGTCGTGGTGGCCAGTTGGGTCTTTTTTGGTTCTCTAAAGCAAAACCCTGCGGGCGCCTTCGGCCATGGAGCACCTTCGGCCACGGAGTGCCTTCGGCCATGGGGGGCGAGGTCTCAACAAGATCCAGGTAACACACTCAGCTCACTCTGTCTCACTCGGTCG